AACAGTAGCAGCCGCCTTTTCTCTTTTTCTCACCTTTCTTTGGGCTCATCCGTACATTTTCTTTTCTCTTCTCAAGCACCTATTCTTCCCACGGCCAACGCACGGAGGGCCTATCCTAGTTGTATGTACACACACTTAGTTGGGCTAGAGGATATGTTAGGCCACGCCCCTTGCTCTCCTGTAGTAGGGATGCCAATGGATAGCCGCGACACAAAATCCAATAAATTTTACCCCATTAATATATGAGTGTGGGCTAATTTACTTACACCCGAATATGTAAATACACAAACAAATCTTACCCACCGGCTTCGTGGGTATGAGTATGAGTCTGCGCTGCTAAATTCATGGGTATCATGCAACTATAATTCAAAACCATCCCTCGACCTAATACATTTCAAAACATTGTCCAATTACACCCAGTGTCATATAAGGAGCGACACATATATATCACTAGTACACAAAAGTTTTGGAGGCGAGCAAAATAGATTAATGGATTACAACCGCCTCCAATCAAAGGCCACCATTAATAAAGGAACTACGGAGGCGGTTGCTTTGCTGTCCTTGGTTAATCGATTAACGGAGGTGGGCGCTTTAGAATATCCGCCTTGGTTCATTGATAAAAAAACAAAAAAATATCTATGAGCCCATTGGTGAGCCTGTTCCCAGCCCAATAGCTGGATCTGGCCTCATCGACCTCCACCGTGGATCCAGACCGCCGCCGTCGTCGGATTCAGGCGCATCCGACCGGCCAGATCCAGGCGCGGCCAGCCTCCTCCATGTCGGATCCAGAGCATGCACCTCCACGCCACCGCTGGATCCTCAGCCCTAGGTGAAAGAGAGAGTGAGGGAGAGAGGAGTGAGGAGAGATGGAGAGCGAGGGAGAGAAGAGCGGATCCATCAGTTACCTGTGTCGAAGAGCGGATCGAGGCCGGATCTACGCCGCCGTTGAAGGATCCACGCCCGCCGGATCTAGAGGAGCCATTGCCGGGTGCGCGAGCTGGTGGCCACCTCGGGCCACCACGCGCGCCGCCGCTATTGTCGGGCGCACGCGAGCGGGTGGCCGCGCCCCAACCGGATCTGCCGGTTGTGCGACGAGGAAGGGAGGAGAGACGTGCTGCCACCGCCGCCCCCGCCCCCCACGCGCCGCCGACACCAGTGGGGGTTGCCCCGCACGCCACGAGAGAGGGAGAGGGAGGCCGGAGTGGAGACGGTGGGAGGCCGGAGTGGAGAGGGAGAGGGAGGGCGGAGTGGAGAGGGAGAGGGAGGCGCGGCTCGGTCTCGCAAGGCCGTAGCGCCGACTCGGTGGGAGGGAGGCGGTGAGACAGAAAGAGGGAGGAGTGAAGAAACCCTAAAGTCTATGTATTTATACTTGAAGATAGAAAATCGGGCCTCGTTGGGTTGTTGGGCCTTGGCCTTTTCGGAGGCAGGCCTTATAGCGTGCCCGTCTCCAAAAATAGATTTACGGAGATGGGTATCTTAAGACGACCGCCTCCAAAAATAGACTATTTTTGGAGGTAGTTGCCTTAAAACGACCGTCTCCGTAAATCTATTTTTGGAGGCAGGCAAAAGTGCCCACCTCGGTAAATAAAAAGTGCCCGCCTCCATTAATTGTAGGCATTAACCGAGGCGGTTGATTTTTGTGACCGCCTCCATTAATAAAAGGGCACCATCTTGCAAAATCATTTGTGTAGTAATGTATTTTTCAGGTATATTTGTTACATATTTGAAGTTATATTGTTTTCTCGTATAGTCATAATTTAAATATTTAACGCATGCGTTATATTTCTTTTCAGAGTGTGGATAGCTCGGGTACCTACTATCCACTTGAGTATGGATACATAGGCATAAAATTGCACCAATACCCTACGTATGAGTTTTTTTTCTTAATTCTTAAATAAAAAAACTGATAGTACATAGGTGAATGATAGCCAACCGATTCCTTGCTCCGGCATAGGCCTTTTCTGAAGCGTTGATTACATGAAGAATTTGGTGCTTAAGAGCAAGGTTAATAAGAACGCTAGCAGCAGCCTGTTAGCGGGCTGCGTATCAATGCCATCTCACTTAAAGCCTTTGTCAACAAAACTTGTATAAGGGTTAGCTGTAGAGGAGAATACTTAATGTTCGGATGCGCACACCACATCATATGATCTATTGTACTGAGTATGTTATATCTCTATGGCCATCTGTATAAAGCCACAAACCACGTATACACGTGCTCATTCCGGGAAGACATGAGTGGACACTGGACAGGCATCGCACGGGATCCGGAGAGAGGAAAAACGCCCACAAAACACTGGTTCACTAAACTAGTGTCGGTTGTAAGTAGACGTTTTTCCTCGATTCCCAAAAAAAAGACGTTTTTCCTCGTACCGTGCGTCTCAGAGGCAGCCCGTTCCTTTCTCTTTCCTCCATCTCTCCTCCAACTCGACTTTTTATGACGTGGACGACCTTGCAGCCTGCCTAGTCAACCTTATTAGGGTAGTTACGTTGCTACACGTCTCATGGTCCGTCTCATGTGATGCCACGTATATTTTTTTTATGATGTGAAGGAAAGAGAGAGGGAGAGAGAATGAGGTCGTTGCTTCGCGAAACAACCGTCTCGTGAGCTAAAATTTAGGGCTATGAGATAGCTATTGTATCATTTTATGAGTTGTTGTCATGCAACTCACAATCCTATTTTTATTCTATGCATTAATTAAGAAATTGTGAGTTACTATGAGACAAGTTGAAAGGACAACCATGCCCTTATACTTGGGGCTGTTTGGTTCCATGGGAATAGGGACTAGAGTCTAAATTTTAGTCCCTTTTAGCCAATTTTAACCAAACAGGAGGAACTAAAATAGAGACTAGAGACTAATTGATAGAAGTTCCAAAGGGAGATGCTTTTAAGACTTATGGGCCAAAATTGACACCCCTTGCCCCTCAATAATTGCTCCCAGCGCCTGCTCCCTCGCCCTCATCCACCTATCCCGAAACCCTCAGCGCGGCACTCGCCCTCACTCGCTCCCTCGCACACTTGCCCTCACTCGCTCCCTCGCCGCTGCGCATCTCGCCCGCACGCTAAGGGTGCATTGATTAGGGGCTCTTTGGTCTTTCTTCAGGTGCATTAACGATGTTTAGTCCATTCAACCGAACACCGTTAGGCACCACTGTTTAGGGCCTGTTTGATATGGGGCTTCGGGGTGGCCCAGCGCCTCCAGCTGCAACTTGCGTTGTTTGATTTGTTTGGCCCACCAACGAGCCAGGTCCGCGGGCAGCAAAATACCCTCTCTCTCATGTCTCCCAAGAAACGAAAGAAAGGGCTGTTTTTTCTGGGCCAGGCCGGCTGAAGCGCTCAAGGGCACGCTGGAGTCACCGTGTCGAGGTGTTGACGAGTTTTCACCGGCTCTCCATCCGCAAGACGCTCGCAGCTGATGCCGCCGCCACCGCCGCGGGAGGCAGGAGGCGAGGTAGTGCCAGCAGCCAAGACCTAGGCGGACACGCGCGCGAGGTGCCGCCGTTGCCGCTCTTGTCGCCGCCGCCGAGCCAGGAGGGGGAGTACGAGGAGGACGAAGAGGCGATAGGGCTGTCGTCCAACGTGCCGCGGGGCCACTTCGCGGTGTACGTGCGCGAGTGGCGACGCCGGTTCGTGGTGCCCATCGCGCTGCTGGACCGCCCCGAGTTCCGGTCCCTGCTGCGGCGCACGGAGGAGTTCGGGTTCACGGGCGCCGGCGCCGGTGGCATCCTCGTCCTCCCCTGCATGGAGGTCGCCAGGACCCACCGCTCTGTAATTTCTCCGTAGCCGCAGGACCCACCGCTCGCAGTGTAGGTCGAGGTCTCCCTCTCCCTCACATCTTCTTCCTCCTGCCCGCGACCATCTTCTTCTTTGACGCCGGGGCCGGCGGAGATGGAGGGCCACTCGAGCTTGCATCTGAGGCGCCATGGGGCTTGTTCGTCGTCTGCCGTTGTTGTCGGTGCCTAGCAAGTGCTCGATGGAATGCAGAAAAGAGAAACAGGAGGGTAACTTCACCGTATTACAAATGCAAGGTCATCCTGTCTATCTGTACATCAAATCAAACACAATCATAACCTGACTTAGGTGGTGTTTGTTTGCTCCTCCTAAATTTTAGTCGTTGTCTTATCGAATGTTTGACGCATGCGTAAAATATTAAATATAAACTAATTACGAAACTAATTGTATAGTTTGCAACTAATTTGCGAGACGAATTTTTTAAGCCTAATTAGTACATAATTTGACATTGTGTTGCTACAGTAAACATGTGCTAATGATGGGTTAATTAGGCTTAAAAAATTCATCTCGTAGAGTACAGATGGATTATATAATTTATTTTTTTAATTAGTATCTGAACACCTCACGTAACATCTTCTCGACACACCTTCTTCCAAACACCACCTTAGCTCACTGGAAACATGTCACACACCTTCTTCCAAACACCACCTTAGCTCACTGGAAACATGTCAATCAAACAAGAGGTGTTGCACCATAGGAGCCAGGCTTTGGCTGGCCGAGCCACCCTTGCATCCTAATATTAAAGAGGCCTTTAGTTCCTGTTTTAGTCTAATCTAGAATGAGACAATCAAATAGGCCCTCGCTCTAAACGAGAAATGTTCGTGATACACGAGGGGCGGAGCGGGTCCCGGTCCTGGTCCCCCATATGCGTATATGCGAACCGGGCACTCTTTTGGTCCCCGGTCCCCCCCCCAATGGGACCACGACACGTGTTCTGCGCAACTGATCCTCTGTGGCGACTGGGGACGGCTCTGCGCCTGCCTGCTGCAGTCCTCCCCTCCGCCTCCGTCCCACACCATGAAGACCTGTTTCGTTCGCGTCGTCAACGAAGGTTACGTAATCTCCATTTTACGTGTTCGTGCCACGTTCACTTAAATAATCATCACCGTATTCATCCCGCCGCCGTGTGCTGTATCATCTCAGCCAAGAAAAAAAAACCCGAACCCGAGGAAAAGGCCTGCTAAACCCTCGCCGCCGCCGCCGCCGCGCCATGGCCGACGAGCTCGACGAGCTGATCGGCTTTCTCTCCGACCGCAACCCCCAGGTGCGTGGCGCGGCGGTGGACATCGTGCGCGGGCTGACGGGCGGGGAGGACGGCCTCCGGGCGCTCACGGCGCGCGCCGACCGCGCCCTGCCGGCGCTGCTCCGCCTGCTGGCCTCCGCGGGCGGCAGCGGCGCGGGCGAGGCCGCGGCGGACTCGCTCGTCAACCTCAGCCAGGACGCGGCTCTTGCGGCGCGCCTCGTAGCGCTCGGGGCCGTCGATGCCGCCATGGACGTCGTGGCCAAGCGAGGCGGGGAGCAGTCGGCTCTCGCGCGCAGCCTCGTCATGCTGCTCGTCAACCTCACCCACATCGAGTCCGGCGTAGCCGCGCTCCTCCAGGTACGTTTAGCCATTCTACTCAAGGAGAGTGCTACTTAGTTTATCCAATAGTATAAATGATGCTCCAAATGAGCAACTTTTGCCTCCTCAACCTTCTCATTGACATGGAAGTTCCAATGATACTTGGTAGAATAGAGATCCTTCGATAATCGATATAGGAGGTTATCTCGATATTTCCATTCCTCAATTGTACCGTGGACCCAGAAGAAACAGCTTCTGAAGTCATTTTCGATATCTGAATGGTTTGGTTATGTCCTAAGACAAGCTAATAAGGAGAAGATGTGTTTTTCACTGATCATCACAGATAAGGAGCGAGAATGGAACACTGAACAAAGAAAGCTGTTTCAAAACATTAAATTACAAACCTGCCTGCCTTATCCCCACAATAAATCCGGATCATGTGATCTAGACCATCCACTGCCAAAAATAGCGCACATTCCCAAAAATTGCAAATCGCTAAGATCATTATATTATAAGATAAAAAAGAAAGAGTTTGAATACTTAAACCAGCATGGCTTTTTAAATTAAGCTCCTAATCAGGGGTGGGCCCAATTGCCATTTCCCAAATAACCACAATACCACCTGAGGATGTAGAAGCAGAAATTGAAACAATATCGACAGAATCCTTCGAATGCCAACATGTGATTCCTTTATTATGCATCCCTGGGAACTGCAACACAGGAGACCATGGCAGAGAAGGCATAAACAGTAAGTCAAATGATTTTGCCTCCCTGGGAGCTGCGGCAGTTGTCGAAAAACAGATCAAGTGACCTCATCTGCAACAAATGGCAAGAGCAATCAGGAAAAAAAGGTAGCAAAAACAAAATCAGTAACATGAACATCAAACCTGCACATGATACAACAATTGAATGCATTGTTGCCACTTCAATCCAGTTATATGGCAGAGAAGCTAGCAATCATGAATTCCTTGGTAAACAAGATGTAATATTTGTGGACAAGGGAACGAAAATGCCTTACAATAAGTTCTTCTTTTGGCCTGAGTTTCAGTTATACATGCACCAAGCCAGTGCTGCAGCTTAATTCAGACAACCTGGAAAGCCATAGCTGTTCTTGATCAGTTTCTGAACAAGAGCATTTAATCAGCTCTGTGCAAGATCGATGAACTGTCATGTTCCAGATCGGTGAACTATCATGTTTATAGATCAAAATAAATTCTTGCGGTAGAAACATAGTACAAGACTGAAACATTATTGTTATGAAACCACAGCCAGCCATTCAGCCTGTATATTCTGCTACGTGTAATGGGATTGAGGTATATATAGTATGTCCCTAGCTAAGAGATTAACATATTCGAGATAGATAAATCATATGCTTAACAACCAAGACATATTTGTTCCTCTTGTAAGCCAATGTTCACACTACTTTACATCAATGAAGTTGCTATTATAGCTGTAGATTAAGGACAAACATCATTTTCTTCTTTCAATATGAAGAAGCAAAACAAGGCACACATAAATAAGTGAATTAAGCAATTGGCGTTCACACAAACACTGTTGGGTCAAGGGGCATTTTCACAAATAGCTGTTCGCTGGCACTCTGCTGCATCGAGATGCATCCAGATATGCTGATTTTATTTTGGATGTGTGTTGAATCAAAGAAGGGGTGGAAAGAAGAGCCAACTCACCTGCTGCGGTGCCTGTTGTCTGAATGCCTAATTACACCTGCATTGGTTGTGGCTTGGCGTCTAAGATAGTGTCAAAGGCATCGGCTTGATTGAAATTGGAGGACGCCAATGCAGTGGCATTGTGGACGGGGCGGGCATCAAGTACTTGGAGATGGGGCGACACCCATCGAGTTTGCAGGTGCCGAGGGAGGTCGCAGACGGTAGACTTGCCTTGGCAAATGCAGACGGATGATGCGGCTGGTGAGCGCCCACCCCACAACGCAGATGTGCTGCCGTTCCCGGAGCTATTGGGGGAGCCCTGAACTCCGTGACCGAAAGTGGAGAGAGAAAGGAAGAGAAATAGGAGAGGAGAGAGAAATGTGAGTCCCACCTGTCAGTGCCGATTTTTATCTGATGGGAGGCACAAACATGTGGTGGGCGCGGTGGGGTGGAGGCAGCGGCTTCACCAAGTTTTAGTACTATATATAGAGATTCTTACTGGTGATCATTCATGGAAAGACTTATGTGACTTCATTTTGAAAGGTTGGGGATGAGAAGGTGCAGGGCTTGTATATTGCAACGCTCGTGCGATCATTCTGTAGGTCATCCAGTGATTCTGAAGGTTAGTTTCTTCTGTTCAATATAACTTTCAGATGAGAAAATGTGATTAATTCCTCTATTTTATTCAATTTGATTATATTTATAAGAAGATTCTGCTCCGTGTTGTACTTGTTCCTTTTTCTTTAAGTTTTCCTTTTTTTTGGATGTCTGATTATATTATACTATGATCTTATCCTGCAATCTTTTCACATGGCTTGAAGAATCTTTTTGTCCACATGAAACTTCTTTTCTAGGTTCACCTTTTTTTTTCCAATTGATCTACCTCTCATCTCTGTGATCCCTTTTGCGGTTGTTTGTCTTGAGTCATCACTGAAATATTCAGTTGACATGTAAACAACCTTTTTCTTTTACAAAAATGCAGAGCAAGACATTTTTGAATACGTTGCCTCCATACTTGTCAATATATCTAAGGTTGAAGCTGGAAGGAGAATATTGATGGAGCCTAAGAGAGGTCTTCTGAAGCAGATTATTCGACAATTTGATTCAACAAATCAACTTAGGAAGAAAGGGGTACGTGCAACCAAATCTTTATGATGGCATAAACGTGACATCTACACTGAAGGGGCTTCCCCTGGTTTCCTTACTTTTGACATAGTTTGACCAGCTCTTTATCAGTTACTACTTGCTAATCATTGTCGCATACCATCAACTGTTGTATTTTAGCGAGTTGATGTGAAGGGTTCTACAGCAGACATACATAGGGAAATGCTAACAGTTCAGTTTGCTGACAATTCAATTTTTAATTTGGCATGCTGCATTGTTTCATAATTCCTTGCTGTGTTATTTGTATTCATGTACCAATTCTAGATTTGCCTTCACTTAGAACTAGTTGATGCCCTGCACCCAGTTTCTGTTTCAGTGCCATAGTTTTCCTTTTTTATGTACATTGGCATGTTATGAATCTGGTATAATTTATTATCAAATTGATGTATTCCCACTAATTTTTGTGCTTCTCTATTCCTTGGTGAGCTTTTTGCAGGTTACTGGTACAATCCGTAACTGTTGCTTTGAGGCTGATACTCAGCTTCAAAGTTTGCTTTCTTTAGCAGAATATCTTTGGCCAGCTCTACTTTTGCCTGTAGCTGGAAAGAAGGTACTACACATCATTAACATTTCTATTACTGTATCCTTTATTGGCATAAACTTTTGAGTGCCAGACTGCCAGTTTCCTTGTTTTATTTTTGGGGGTAGTTATCATCCCCTTCTGATTAGTAACCTATTTTGTACTGGCCAAGTGGCCCTGATGACCATTGTCATGTGGACTTCGTTAGCTGATTACACATCTTACAATTGAAACTAGGCAAAATTGGCTACGGGACACTGAAAGTGACCTCCCTTTGCTGCTGGACATCTAAAATGGAGCAGATTTCTAATAGACACTCTGCTTCTTGTCAAATTTGCTGGTGGACACCGGACTGAATAAAATATTCATTTCTGGCTTTCGAGGAGAGAGAAGAACGGTGAAATGTCACTATTGCCCCTACCACTTTCTTCTTCCTCTCTCTCCCTGTTCTTCTCTCCGCGTCCTCCCGGCGTCCAAGACTGAGGTCGCCATCAAGATCGTGTCGCACGACGCGACGCAAGGGATGAAGCATTTCGTCGCGGAGGTCGTCAGCATCGGCCGCCTGCGTCATCGCAACGTCGTCATGTACCTTTCGGCCTTCGCCGCGGAAAGGCGAAGCTTCACTTGGTGGTGTCTGTTGCATGCCCAACGGTAGCCTAGACAGTGGTCAGATGACCACGCACACGCCGCCCACAGCTAGGAGCAAAGACTCCGCGCCATTAGGGGCGTCGCGGCCGGCTTGCTCTACGTACACAAGGATTGGGAGCAGGTGGTCATCCACCGCGACGTCAAGGCCAGCAACGTGCTCCTCGACGGCGAGATGAATGCTCGGCTCGGCGACGACTTGAACTCGCGTGGCTTTCGAAAGCGGCGCGCCGGCAGAGAAACGCGCGCGTGGTGGGCACCATGGGGTACCTCGCGAGTCTCACAGCACACCCGGCGTGGCCGCCGCCGCCACGGACGTGTTCTCGTTTGGCTCCGTCGTGCTCAAGGTGGCGTGCGGCCGGTGGCCCATCTAGCGCGGAGACGACGACGGCCGGTTCTTGCTAGTGGACTGGGTGCTGGAGCTCTGGCACATGGGTGCCTAGCCGGCCTGCCCTGGCAAAGAGGGCCTGCGGATGGAAGCGAGAAGCCAGCCGGAGCCGTGGTGGCAGTGGAGCACGGAGCCCGGTGACGCCGTGTGCCTTGTCGAGGTTGAGCCAGTGGAGCACGGCCCGCGCGTGAGGCCACGCCATGCCCGTGACCCCACCTGCACCCTCCAAAGCCAGGATCTGGCCTCTCTGTCTCTCTGGCCGAGAGCTCGAGCACGCCATTGTTGGCCGAGCTGAGCTCGAGCTTGACTCTGCCGTGCCCTGCCACCGGAGACCACCATCGCCCAAACACTCCTCTCTCTCACGCTCCCCAATCTCGCCCTCTCTCTCGCGCTCTCTTTGTCCGCCCCGCTCATCCGCCATGGACGGCCGAGCAGGGAGCTCCTCCGTCACCGCTTCCTCCTACTTCCTCCTCAGGTCGAGCTGGTTGTCACGCTGAACTCCTTAGCTCATGCCGCTTCCGCAGCGCCATTCCTTGGCTATTACCGCCTCCGGAGCGCGGCTAGTCACGTTGGCGCCGCTGCAGGTCCGCCGACACTCGTGGCCCCGCCTCCTCTAGCCACGCCAGGACATGCCGCGAGCACTGCTGGGTGTGCCTAGTAGGGGTCAAGCCGAGGCACCGCCTCCTCGCCTCCAGCCGGCCGGAATCGGCCCCAATCTCCGACGACCATCCCCGTGCGGTCAGAGGAAGAAGAAATAGGTAGGGGCATAACGGACATTTCACTGCTCTTCTCTCTCCTCGAAAGTCAGAAATGAATATTTTATTGGGTCCAGTGTCCACAGCAAATTTGACAAGAAGCAGAGTGTCTATCAGCAAACTGCTCCATTTTTTATGTCCAGCAACAAAGGAAGGTCACTTTCACTGTCCCGTAGCCAATTTTGCCTTGAAACTAATAGTATGTTTTCTTGCTTTGAGCAATCTTGCGTTGCATTTTCTTAATGTTTTAAAAGGCATATTCTTGTTGAAGACTGTCTTTTTTTTTTCATCGAATGATGTGGGAGAGCTGTGTTTCATTTCGTTGAGAAGAGAGAAAATAAGGAGAGGCCAGTGGTCAACTCCCGCAGATGTCTAGTTACAGACACACTACTCACAATAGAGACTCAATGTCGACCAAACAGACCTTGACCTAGATGTTGAGGTTAAGCAACCTGATGAGTAGTTCATGGAGAGCTGAAGCACTAGCTAAACACCACAAACTACTCTCATTTGCCACTGCCTGTAACACTACCGAAATACAAAGCACAGCACCCTCAAACACACAAGCATTGCAATGTTCCAATAAGACTGCCAGGCTGTAGGGTCAAGTTTTTACAACATACTTTCTTCTTGTTGAAGACTTAGTTCTACTTCTATATTTTTCATGTAGAAATGCATTTGTTGCACATTCAATTCCTTACTACACTTCTGCAAAAGTATAGAAATAGGGATCCATAATAGGAAGGGTGAATCTGTTATTCTTGTTGTGCAAGGGGCAGATATATGGCCTTTAGCTTCCTAGAGTAATTTCCCAAAAAATACTTTCCTATTGTTTTGTGCTGAGTGATGGATATTCATGTGTTAGTACTTATATGGATTTTGGCTGATACTGCAGATATATAGTGACGAAGACAGATCGAAAATGCCACTTGAGCTATCAAGTGCACTCTCTCATGAACGGGAAGCTGTTGAGGATTCTGAAATTCGGCAGCAGGCGTTGGAGGCTATTTATATGATTGTATTGCAGGTGATTTTTACATTTCTTGGCAGTGACTTTTGGTTCATTTTGCATGCCTATTTCCAATTATACAATATCCTGTGCTGCCTTGTTTTAAGATGTCTTAACTAAATAAACTCCATTCCTGCCCCCTGTAATTGTACAGCTAAGTTATCCTATATGCATTGTCCACCTTTGTACCTCTAACCATTGTTGTCCTGTTGATCATGTTGCGCCGGTTATCATTTCTACTGTGAAACCTTAACAATATATGGTTGGTTACCTCAGGACAGACTTGGAAATTTCTCTTGACTTTGTTAGTGTAGTACATATTAAAAGACTTAATGACTTTGGTTGCGGACTTGTTACTAATTCCGTTTTAAATGAAATTTCCAGCACTGCATACTACACTTTTCTAAGATAGGGTACTTGTTAAACTAGAAGGGTGAATCCATGCACAGAGGTGCATGCCTGGTCCAAGGTTAAGTACACATAAATAGGCTTTCCACCCCATGCACTTGTGGTGGGGCTGCACTTGTGGCTGAGGTCAGTAGATCAACATGATCCAGCTGTAATGAATTGAAATGACGGTTCAAGTGGCGCGATGCCACACACACACCCCTGTTTGATAGCACCCTGCAATCTGCCATTATGGCATGGGTGATGCCGTGTGTTGATGCCTCAGTATTCACAGCTCAAAACCAGATGTATAATGTAGCAGAATATAAGCATATAACCAATAACCAATAAAGACACTTACCTGGGAGGCCAAGCTTGAAACAGTTTCAGGCCAGGCACTACTGACCAATTTATTAGCCATCAAATTTGTATGTTGAATTTTAAAAATAAGGGCTAATATACTTTATACCAGCTATTTTGGCAAATGACTTGACTTTATATTATTATTTTTACCTCACATCACATGCAGTCATGCTATTCTGCCGCTCGCTTGTATACTTACTGAAAATTCACCTTTTTCAGGATGATGGCAGAAGGTCCTTTTGGTCAGTTAATGGTCCACGAATTCTGCAGGTTGGTTATGAAGATGAAGAGGACCCGAAAGTGATGGAAGCATATGAACTCATTGGTTCCCTGGTATAACCGCTGAACTTTTTAGTATTTTCTCTGGTTAGTTAGACCATGTGTTACATATACTAGTTTAATGGTTTTTTGCTTTATAGACATGCTGTTTCTGCATGTCCTCGGCATCTTATAATCTGTTCCAAGAGTTATTAACTATATGATGCAGGACTTTCTCGTGATGAGTTTACCCTTATACTACTTTTAGTCTCTGTATGATACTCTAATTGTTAATGTTCCTTGTCTTGCCTACTTCTATATGTTTTTGATCCATGACATTGTTGCACTCTTGAACTGTTGAGACAGTAGTTTGGGCAGACTACTGGAAAGCATGCTTTATGATGAGTCTATGTCAAATTCAAACTGATCATGTTTTAACATTTGATCAATTGACACAAATTGTGTTGCCATAATGCTATCATAGTATGATGTTCTTTATGAGGGCTAACTCAAGCTTTATTTAATGTTGACAGCTTGTTGGGAAGGGTGAAGGTGAACAAGAACAAGGAGAGAAGCCTCAATGACACCACCCTTGATAAAAACGGTCTTGTATTTTTGTTTGTCTAGAAAACATCCCTCGCCATGTGCAATAGCAATACTATGATATCCCAAACTTGTCAGCTATTGCAACTGCAAAAGCTCTGCAGTGTTGCTTCTGTAATTGACGAATGTATTTGCAAACTTTGTCTGTACTGGCCGTCTTTTCCATGGTTTTGAGCCCTCTTTGACGATTCTTTCACACCGTCACTTCAGAACATGGGTAGGCATTAACCGGGCTACCCTGTAGCTTTCGCTGAAACCTATTGGAATTGATTGATGGGCGCCATGTTAAATGTAGGGACCGGACCAGGATGTGGCTCTACCCATGTGAGCTGAAGTCGCACCAAACAAACTCTGAGTGTTATCTACTTGCTCGATAGGCTCCGATCGGTTTGCTGAAACTGGCTGAAAAAATATTGTTCTGGTTGAATTGTCGTGGAAGAAAAACACTGTTCTAGCTAAAACAATAAGCCGAACAAGCCGGTTTCTGGGTAAGCCGAATGGGGCCTTGTCTGTTTGCCGGTCAAACCTGGATAATGATGAGATTTAGTAACGATCAATTGAGATGCATTATTAATTTGTGGAGAATGCTGACAAACTTTTATCATCATGATAACATAGGACGCAGGGTCCATACGTGAACCTCCCGTGGCTAAGATAAACGAGACTTCTTGTGGTCCACAAGTTCATACGTGTGCCTCGTGTCACCTCAAATATTGCACGAAAAACATCATGGGCGACATCCATGAGTTTTTTAAAAAAATATATATTTCTATCACCTTTGTCTGCATTCTGTATTGCCGTTGTTTCTTTCATTTCTGACAAGTAGTGTTCAACAATTGCCATTTTGCTTCTAGGGCCACACTTAAGTACGGGTAAACCCTTCATTGATGCTGACGCCGCCACTGTTGCTATTTCTTTCCTCCTTTTTCTTTTTTAGAGAAATTTGAAATTTCCCTGAAAAAGAAAAAGGAGATGCAATAGGAACTTTTTCTGTTCCCACGAGGTATATAGGAAATGTTCCTATGGGTTTGGAATCTCTTAAATTTCTGTGTCTTTTTTTTTTGTTCCAACAGGGCCTAAATCTTGCAAGAAGTGAATTCACTAATGTGAAAATACAGTGAAATCCACTTTGCAAAAATCTCATGTCCCAAAGAAGGCCTGAAAACAGAGCAAATTTCAAACCAAAGCATTACAACTTGAAGATGCGGATAATATCAACACGGCTAAATTGTTGGCTTCATCCAGGAACCATTGAAACACACACACACCAATGATCTTGGCGAGAGTAGAACAAGCACAATAGACACTGTTTTCCGGCGACGAACGCCACGGCGACAAACTCGCCTGTATCTTGGCTACATATTCACTGGACCTGACAACTGAACACAGAGGAGCATGGGGCTACATATAGGCCATGGAGTTCGCCTCCATGCCGGCCTTCGCGCCATGATTCGCAGGACCCGCGCAGCAACACCGTAAGCCACTTGCTCATCCGGACAATGCGGCTTCTACCATGCAAATCGGCGCCATGCACACCACTACTCCAACTAGATTCGGTCTCAACCATTGCATGCCCTCCATGAGGCACACACGACACTGCCATCCAAGAGGCACACACGACTCGATCGTGACCCAAAAATAGCCAGACATGCACACCACCATGACGCGGGACACACGCACACGCCATGGACACCACGTGTCGTGGTTTATCTCTAACATAAACTACCTACCAAATATAATACCTCCAAAATGCAGGTCAAGAGAAAAGGGGAACAAACTCAAAGTCCAAGCCTTGCTAAGAGACCAAACAGCAGATGCCGCACTTCACGCGGTCAATATACTGTTTGAGTGCTAATCACACCCGTGAATCGCTGATCATTCGTTTATTTCAACAAGACTACAAGAGGCTCCAAATCGCCCATTTGAGATTGGCGCATAGCTCCGGACTCTGAGGTTTGGATGCAACGGAACCGGACAGACAAAACTCTACCAAACACAGGTTTTCAGTGTCTCATGTCATATCATGGTATCTTAACCCACCAGTTTTATTCAATTCGACATTTATCTTTTAGAGAACAGGATACCCCCACATTTGTTTACTCGAACAAAAGCTAGCAAAGTTTTAACGATCTGGTTGAAGCATATTGAGGAGTGCCTATCGGATACAGATTAATGGAGGCAACCAAACGGAGTCTTAAGTATAGACAACCCTTCATTAATGCTATGCTATTTCTTTTCTGCTTTCCCTTTTTCAGGAAAATTTCATATGGTTGTTGGGAGAAAGAGATCTACAGCTCCTTTGCAACAAGGGAATTTTTTCCTCTTTTCTTGTACATAATAATTTTTCTTTCGTCTTAATCGAGCGGCAGAGCTCCTGCCTTTGTTTCAAAGAAAATGCAGGAGAAAAAAACGTAGGGTCACAATTGTACAAAACTTGGGAGCCTAGACGAAGGCCTCCATTGGAATGAGTTTTTTCCCCCCAATTTACTACGTCTTTCCTGTGAAAATGGAACCATTTTTTGTGAAATTAATGTATGTTTCCTATGAAATTCTTGCATTCCAAGGGCTCGAAATCAAAATTTATGAGGGTTTCAATGTCCTTTCGATGCAACAAGGGAAAAATTCATGAATCTATATAGATAGAAACACGAAAGAATTTTGCAAAATTTTTTACCTTCATGTTAGTTTTCTTCTAAAAACTCCCATTGATTCTTGCATTTCATAGGAATCCACATGAACTTAGTAGAGTTAAATTCTCTATTCCAAAGGGGTTTATATATTTCTGTGTCTTTTATTTTGTTCCTCGCGCTTGTAAGGTGCAGTCCTCTAACACTCTCCTTAGTATTAGGTATACACTAGCAAGTATGTCCGTGCGTTGCAACAAGAGAAAGAAAAAACTATCCAAAGTTTAATGAAAACGATAATGAGAATGTTACAGGTCTATTTATTTTTTACACTTTCCATAAAATTAATAAGCTATAGTTTATTTATTTTATGATGATCATGACATCTATGATATAAGTTATTAATATTGGTAATAATATGATAATGTCTATTATGTCTGTTTCAAAATTGAAATATAATCTTGATAAATATTTTTGAAAATATAATTTTGTTAAATACATTTTTCTTCCTACGTAAGGCATATAAATATTTATTGTTAAATATACCATAATTTTAATTTTCATACTACCATTGAGTTGGTAGAGTTACATATCTAGGTACATGACTTTTACGAGGATCCATAAAATATGTAATTCTATTATCTGATCCAAGTCGGTAAGAGTTCCATGTCAAGGATTAGTCTATCTATTCATGATTATAATAGAGATCTCTCTCAATTTTCACACCAAGAACTGCATTGGTATATGCATACAACTTGGAGATAGATTTATTTTTATTAGATTGGATAGCAAACTACTTAAAATTTTAGTTCACGGTTTGATTAGTTGGACCATCGAATGATTCAAATTCTAATAAAGACAAAATTTATTCCTTATTTATTTGAACATAAAAATTTATTCCTTATCAAAACTACATTAACATTTAGTGGTCAAAATATTTGTTTATTAGAAAAAAGTTAAGGGTTCAAACACACTTGATTTTTTATATTTATAAGAAAAAAAATATTAGATACTCTACTCTAGAAAAGAGAAAAGAAAAAAGTGCGGAACGGAAAGGAGAAAATCAAGCGGATCCTTATAGAAAAGCGGATGAAAAAGACACGAGATAAACAAATGTACACTCTAGGGAAAAGCGGGCAGAAGAAAAGAAAAAAAACGGACGTGGGAACTGCACGGGCAGAAACAGAAAAAAACAGACTTGGTTACGGGTTTTTTTTTTCGAGAACGACTCGGTTACGGTCTTACGGATGCGGGACCCTTACATAGCGGTTTAAGCTGGACGAAAAATCTTTTTGGGGACAGAAATTTTGGTGGTTTAGTATTAGGTATAGATATAGATATAGGCATATAAATACGGGAAAACCGAATTATTTTTAAAAAAAGAGGTTTAAGAGAAATTTTCATTTGGGATCCGAATCTTCTTAAATTTCTGTCTTTTATTTGTTCCAATTTGCTAGGTTCAAATGAAAATTCCGTGTAATCCATTAGAAAAATTGTGTTCCAAAGAAGACCTGAAACAGACAGAATTTCAAAACAGAGTTGTCGAGTTCATAAATCCGGGTCCCCAATGAATCCGCTTTCCTACAAAACTCGACCCAGCAGGCGGTGCAGCGACAGCACGTGCCTGGGCCGGACTAGATATATAGTGACAGGTCAAGACCACGATCCGATCCCCGACTGGCACCTCCGGCCAGGAGATCTGGTCGAGCCCCGACCGAAAAGGCTGCCCGTGGTGGGACCGTAGTATGACTCCGACCTCCTTTCTCCGACCGAGGATACGCTGGGCCTCTGCTCACTGCTCTTTCCCGACTAACACGGTCGGGGCCAATTGGGAACGACCGACCGGGGAGCAGGCGGAGCAGATAAGGTAAGGCGCTCAAGTCAACCGTAATACCGAGGACCGTACCCTACCATGCCCTGCGCACCTGCAGGGCGGTGCCGTCGGGCCATGTCAGACGAATACTATACAGCCTGCCAGACACGTCAGAGCATGAACAGCATTGTGGGCGCCGAAATTTGCCGTACCAAGCGAACACTGTACAGCCTGCTAGACGCGTCAGAGCATGAACAATGTTGTGGGCGTCGCCGTTTGCCATACCAGACGAACGCTATGCAGCCTGCCAAATACAACAAAGCATGAACAGTAAGGTGGGCGATGGCGGCGTAAATAGTATGGCGGGCGACGACAGCCATCCCGTACCCAATGACGTGGGCAACAAGACTAGGCAGCACCCGTATACACTCTCTCTTTCTCTTTGACTTGTAAGACCATCCCCTTCAACTATAAAAGGGGATGCGCTCTCTCTCGACGACAAGACGACTCGAGGAGACGACAGCAAAACAGCTTTAGAGCTCAA